TTAACATCCACACCACATAAACTTGCTTTGTTATGAAAAAGAATGTTGTTGCTCAATCATCTTGCTCAAGAGAATTTTCACTACACATGCATGCCTTTTGTTTTCTATTCAGTTCACTGGCATGAGTACAGAGAAGATAAAAATGTGATTCAGTGAAAGGATTAATAAGAATATGTTAAAATGTTTTTAGTTGAGGCAGATGACTAGTGAATAATTGAGTATGTCAGTAAAATCGAAAGCCCAATTGCATAATCCAACACTCTTTTCAAATAACAGGAAAAAGCTAACAAAAAAATAAATTTAAAACAAACAAACCAAAAAAAAATTTTTTTCCTTAAGTGAGCTTTTTTTTGTAAAACCAACACCTTTCATTCTGTTATAAAAAGAATTTTTTTCTGGTGCCCTAGAATATAAAAGATAGGCTACTGGTGCACAGAGGATTCTGGATGCAGTTTATGTTCAAGGAGTATTACTTTTTTCCCTTAAAGAAAATAAAGAAAATCCGATGCAATAAGCTTTTAAAATGAACCACAACAACCTGTAGCTTATGTAGCTGACGCTTAAAAATGCTATTTTTCTGCTGAGGCATTCCTACACTCCACAGTACACCTCTCACCTTTAAAGCTGTCACACTCCAAACATTGCTTGCACTGAGGAGAATCACTGTTTTGCCTGGAGCAAGGAACATAAGTGTTGCAAAACTGACTCCTCCTCTACTGGGGAGAGCATGCACAAGTATACAGTTGTATCACTCCTAGAGCTGCCAGGCTGAATATTTTACAGTCAGAGCTGTAAACCTTGCAGGATTTTTCTTTGTTTATCTTTCTACTTTGGGGCCTTTTTTCTCCCCTTTTCCCTCTGATTTTTTTTTTTTTTTTTCTTTTTACATATGTGAAACTCTTTCAAATGCTGGATTTTGAAGTCCTTGTTCAGGAAGCATTCATGAACTGACATGGGTCAACATACTTTTCGTTACCAGGCAAAAGTAAGTACTGCAGTTAAACCTGTTCCTAGTGTGTATTTACCTATGAAGGGTTTTGTGTCATTGCATAAGGACAGTGTAGACTGTAGTTTCATTAGCAGAAATTAAAAACTTTAAAAAGAAGTAAAATAATTTGAATATATTATGCTAAATATTGTATGGCTCACATTCTGAAAGAAAAAAAAACAACAACAAAACATTTTTACTTGTCAGTGGTCTCTGTTAAAATACTGAAATAAGCCAGACACAGATATGCCACTCCTATAAGTTTTCGTAAAATGACATTAAGGATTGTGTTTATTTTTGTAAAGACTTGTAAATGCACATGGTAGTAATAATCTCATGATACTACTGCTTTATATTGTTTATGTTTACTAAGTATACCTCATTTGTGTCATTCGTTAATGAAAATAAGCTGGTTGAGGAAATAAACCTCCTGGAGCTCCTGTAACTGCTGTCATACCTTCCACTACCTACAGCTCCCTAGCTATTATTTTATTCTTCATGTGCTGTCCTCTCCTACGTTTGTATGTACCTTCAGTAGTTACCTGACCCTTTTTTGCATGTGTTATTAGCTTCAGAATTCTTTGATATTGGCATAGACTGGGGGGGGGGCCCCCCCCCCCGACAGCTGATAACTGAGATGACAGGGAGTAAAGAAAATGGTGTGATTTGATCCTGAGAGTGTCTTTTTAGCCAGTTTTCCCTGTGTTCTATTGAAACACTGGACCATCATCTATAATATTTTCACTATTCCAACAGTCACCTGAGAATTCATTAATACTCTGGGAATGAATACAGTTTCTTTTGCTGAGTTCCCTCTAGAGAGCGCAGCAGCCTGCAAGACAGTGTATGGGTTCTGTGTCCGTATTACCAGCATAAGCTTTGTGCTGTAGAAAAGCTATGCTGCAGCTATCATCCTTTTCTTCTTCTGAGATCTGGCTTGCTAGTATTGAGCTGAACTAGGCACTTCCCCAAGGCAGGCAGATGGATTGCCCAGGCTGTGAACATGTTTAAGCAACAAGTCATGCTTGAATGTCTGTAATGCATGCAGCCATTTACCCTATGCACTTTACATGGCAATTAATATCTATAGAAAGTCTATGGCATGAGTGCACATCAGTCTTCTGTGATGAAGTACAGCCTAGTTAAATTTGATGGAAGGATTAACATAGACTCTAATTTGGCAAGGAGTTTGCAGATCTTGAAGAAAAACAATATCCAGAGAAATGCAGTTAGCATAAAAGCAATAAGGAGCCAAGCCTGATAAGTCATCCCAACATTTTTGTGTGTTAAAATTGAACTAGAAATCTGTCACACTAAATTTTCTTGTGAAAGATGTAAGGCCTTGACAGGGAGATGTTTTGCAGTGTTATGAACTCAGAGGGATAGTTCAGGTCTCAGAATTTTCATCTTCGTTTTTGAGAAGTTCTTTCTATGTATTTAAGCTATTTGCATTGTATTATCCTATTTTTTGTTGCCCAGCTTAAGATCATTTTTAAATGTGTTGAGTTTTCATGGCTTCAGCTGAATTAACATCATAGCAAGTGTTCTGCTATCAGAATCAGGGTACTCAGGCACAGAGGTGGCTTTTGAAAGCTCTCGCCTTTATTTAGAGATTGTGGAAGTTTGACTTCTACACATTTATTACTGTAGTGAAGCAAAGGGAGTTCAGCCACTTCCTTCAGCTGCATCAGGCTACCAGTCGAAACTTCTGTGATTCTGGTCTCCCAGGCTTGTATTCTTCACCAGAATTAAATACAGGTTAATTAAAGACTCATGAAACAGTAAAAATAGTTTATTCCTACTGTCTTGGTATACTCTTGTTTGAAGCTAATAATCTGGTACTTCCAGAATCTTCAATTTACAAACTTTGTTTTCTGTATATTTATGTACCTGTGTATACTTATGTAAGTATCAATACACTTTTTATCATCCAGGTAGGATTCTGTTAGGGTATTTGTTCCAGACTTTTGCTACCCAATGCCCTTCCTCCAAAGATCTATCTACTCCACCATAGAAACCTTAGTTTTCTGTGGCTTCTGCTTCAGCACCATTTTTGGTTCCCATTTATTCCTTCAGTACAGCTCCCTTTCAGAGAGGTTGTTGGATTTCACAAGATAGAATCAAAGGGCAGCTCAGACTGTACCATAAGTCCTTGTTTGTACTAATTAATTAGACTAGTGCTCTAATAAATTGACTCACAAAGACTTCCTTATTGACCTTTCCCTAACTGGTTCCTATACTATTGGAGGGATGCCTTCATTCCCTAATTTGGTCTCCATTCTTACGTATCTCTGATGGCTATCCATTTCCCCTTAGCCTGGCTCTGATTTAGAAGTCTGTCACATGAATCTGTACTGATTCCTGCTGCATGGGCAGCAAGGTTGAACTTACTTCATTTGAGGCTGATTATAACCCCTTAAAGAACTGTCTCATTATTTTAATATCTTTTACTGATTGCTCAGCTGTAGCTGTACTGTTCCTCAGTCCTTCCCTTACCCCAAGTTAGCACTGTGGAACTATTTAATTAAACAGTATGAAATCAAGCGTACAGATATTTTGTGTGTGAGCTAAATAATGAGAGAAGACAGATTTCCTGCTTTCTTGCACTTCCTCCTTTCTGTCTTTTTTTTTTACTGCCTGGCCTTGCTGAAGAGATCATGACCTCGCTCTGAGAGAAAAGATTCTCACAGGTCTGGTCCATACCAGTTGTTGGTGGTTCTATTTAGTATGACCTTTAATCCTTGTAAAAAACTTACCTGCTAAAAACTTTCATATTGAGTAGGCTTTTTTGTAGGTATTTCCAGCAGAGACACAGGTAATTCTGCTGGTAGGGGAATGCCTTTGCAAATAATCTCACCAGCCTTTTATATATATGATTTTTTTCAGTTCATTAGCAATACTGAAAACTGTTCGTAAAGAAATCGAAAGTATAAGGTGCTCTTAATTGTGTTTTGGCAAACTGAGAAGACAAACCTTCAGGCTGAACAAAGCATTCAGCTAATGCTATCTAATCTGAAGGAAAACCGTTTCATTTTAAGTCTTTTTTTTTTTTTTTTTTTTGAAAGTTAAAAAAGTAAATTATAAAACTGTCATATCAAAAATGATAAATTTCTTCATAGAAATCTGTGATGACTCATTTCAGTGTTTGAGGATACTGTTTGGGTTTTCTTTTTCTTCTGAAACACTGTATTTAAATTGATACATCTTATATAAAAGTATCAGCTCGCTTTAGCTTGTATGTATGGGTAAAAGTTTTAACCAGAAATTTCCTTTTCTGTAAATTAAATCTCTGCTTTTCCTTTTCTAAGGTTTACCACCAAGTTTGGTATGGTCCAGAGTAGTACAAACTTTTATTCTAAGAATCTTGTGGGCCCGCATTCTCCAGAGCTTTTGGATAGACCTTTGATGTCATGGTTTAGTGCCAGGGGTCCCTGCCCACGGTGGGGGGGTTGGAGCTAGATGATCTTGAAGTCCTTTCCAACCCTAACTATTCTATGACTGTGTGAATGCCTTCACATCACGCAAGTACACGGAGTTTATGAGACTTGCAGCTGTTGCATCCACCACCAGAAATCTTTCTCATGCTTTTCAAATGTGAATATTTATAAATGCCAAAATGCTCTAGTCACCTTGTCTTACTTGGGATATAGTACCCTATTTACTTTAGGAATTGTAAACTGTTACAATTCCTAAATATTGACTGAACTACTAAATCTGTTGGAGTTCAGTCAAATGGCACGGCAGTTTTCTACAGCTGATCAACAGTATTCTTAAGGAATAATTCAGTTCATAGCATACAGCAAGTAACTTCATATTCCCAGAAGCCTATAATTGGTAGAATTCTGCACTTACGATGTTATCTATATGTGCTGTACTCTTTTGTCATTTCCTATTGTAGTCATAAAGTTTTGTCTTTTGAGTTACAAGATATCTGGTGACTTCACAGAGGTTTTGATAAATCTTTATTTCAAAATAAACCATGTAGGATATTTCAGTTCAACATTCAAAAGAGTTTGGATATGAATTCTTAGAAGAAATTAGGAAGCATTGAACCATTAGGAAATTCATATCAATTTCTGATTGTATGACTAAGGAGTTTAGTTGTAACTACAATGACTCATCTGAAGGAGGTATCTGGAGAATAATCTGGGGAAGCATATAATAAGTTTACTTTGCTTAAAAATAGATACCCTTTTTTTCCACCAAATTCAAACATTCAACTCAAACTACTTATTGTAAGAGCACTTCTTAGGATATCCATTAACTGTGATTAGAAAAGGGAGAGAAGAGAGACAAGCTGAGAAACAAAACAATTGTGTCTCAAATTCTAGCATTCATAAACACAGCTCGCTGCTGTGAAAGAGTTCAGGGTGAGATCTGCATAGTTTAACATTTGAAAATCCTCTGCAGGTTCATTTTTGTGAACTGCTTTATTACTCATATTTTTCCATAATTCACTGAAAACTATGAAACTGGCAGATAAGAAAAGAATGTTTTAAAAATAATCACTGCAAAGATACAAACAAATGTAAACCTCAAAGTGCGTATTCTTTTCCATAGTCCAGGTTTTTTGTTTGTATCATGAGCATTGCAGGGACAGAGTATTCCAGAAGTATTTGTGATGTGAACTTTTCAGAATAGTACTCAGAAGCTTTTTGAGTACATGCACTCACATGTCCACATACAGTAACTGTGAAGAATGCATGAGGTGCCAGTGAGGTGGTCTCGTGCCACTGGATGCACTCTGCAACACCTTCAGTGGGGCAGCTTGAACCCAGACTACCCCATAACACAGGAATCATTATTCCCTACCTGCAGCGTGTAATGCCAAGTACACCTCTGGCTATAACTGATGACTTTACCTCATATACCCCACAAGCCTTGCAGTAGCATATGACCAGCCAAGCAGAGGAGTCCAGTTAGACTCTTTTTAGGGTAGGCTGACATAATGCACCAAAAAGAAGGTAAGGGATTAGTTTACATTTCTAACAGACCAT